TCCCCGGTAACATACGCAGCTCTTAAAATATCAGAAAGGTATGACCCGCCAGAAAACAGCATAAAAGCGCCGTTATACCACTCATCTGTAGATGAGGTTATATACACATTGATTATGTTTTTCTTCTGTGTGTGTAAATGTGTGTTTAAAATTTTGTGACCAGGCATGGCGGCTCACAATTGGGAAGCCAATTTGAGAGGATTGCTTGAGCCCAGGAGTTCGAGACCAGCCTGGGGAACATAGCCAGACTTCATCTCTATTAAAAAAAAGCAAAAAATTGTGAGGTGTGGTGGTGCACGCCTGAACTCCAAGCTATTTGGGAAGCTGAAGCAGAAGGTCAAGGCTATGGTGACCAGTGATCATGCCACTACACTCCAGCCTGAGGGACAGAGTGAGGCTCTGACTCAAAAATAATTTTTTTAAAGTGAAAAATAGTGTCACACCTCCTCTTAATCTCTAATCCCTTTTTGGATCATCTTGTCTGGTTTCATGTATTTAAATGAAATGTAGACATTGATGATTCATAAATTTATACTTCTGCTCTGACCTCTCTCCTAAGGCTGGTAGATGCACCTGTCTACTCAGCATCCCTCTTGTAGAAGCCAACATCCAGTAGGCACCTTCAGCTTGATGTATTGGAAGCTAAACCCCTGAGCTTACCTTAAGCCTCACCTCCCACGGTCTTCCCCAACTCATTAAGGGGCGGTTCCATCTTTCTTGGGGCTCAGTGGGAAACCTCTACCTCATCTGTGCCTGCTTCCTCACATCTCCTTTAGTAGCTGGTTCATCCAAACTCAGCTGGAGCCTGACTCACCACCACTTCCACCTCATCCAAGCCATTGCCTCTCTCATCTGCACTATTGTGATAACCTTTTTGCTGGTCTTTCTGTTTCTGTCTTGCACTACCATTCTGCACCACCTCCTTTGGAATTCTGCATAGAATAGCTAGAGAGAGCCCTCTAAAACACAAGTCAGAGCAGGCTCTACTGTGTCCCATGGCTTCCCATCTCACTCAAAGTCCTTTCAGTCGTCTATAAGACCCTATATCTGACCTTCTCTTTCACCTTCTTTCCTTTTCTTTCTTTTTTTTTGAGTTGGGTTTTTCTCTGTTGCCCAGGCTGGAGTGCTGTGGCATGCTCACAGCTACTACAGCCTCGACCTTCTGGGCTCAGGTGATCCTTCCTTCTTAGCCTTACAAGTTGCTGGGGCTGCAGATGTGTACCACCACATCCAGCTAAATTTTTTGATTTTTTTTTTTGTAGAGACAAGGTGTTACTATGTTGCCTAGGTTGGTTTTAAACTCCTGGACTCAAGCTTCAGTCTCCCAAAGTACTGGAATTACAGGCATGAGCCACCGTACCCAGCCTGACCTTCTTTCTCACACTTTCCCTTTTGCTTATTCAGGTTCAGCCACAGGGGCCTCCTGATAGCTAGTTAGAGAGGTGGATAGACAGATTGTCTTTTCTTACTAGGAAATAAGCTGCATGAGGGCAAGAACTTTTGTTTTATCCCCAGTGCTAGACTAATGCATGGCACATAGTGCTTAAATATTTGTTGAATGGATGCATTATAATCTTTTCTCCCTCTGAATATATTACTTTGCTCTTTTTTGAACACACCTTTCTTGGTAACAAGAGGTAGTCATAGCAAGGTTTGTTAACTAAAGGGCATATTTTAAATAGCTCTAATTAGCCCTGAGTACATATGACATCCCCCATGGGACAGTAGTATGAGATTTGGCAATAAGAATGTTCTGTATCCTGGCAACATTTTCTGTCTCTGTTCTTTGACTCCTGATGCCGCCAGCAACACCGCAACAGAAAATGCTTCTTACTCACTTTGGAAGGTGGGCAGATCTGCTTCCCATTTAACCAAAGGACCTCTCTTTTATTCTAAAATAATTTATTAAGAAGACAGAGAGTCAAAAGACCTGAGTTAGCATTCTGGCTCTGACACTGGCTCTGACTATAGTCACACAACTCAGTCTTGGTTTCCCCTTCTGTGATGAGAGCAACCATCATTCTGTCCTTACAGAATTAGCTGGAGAAAAAAGTGAAATAAAGTATTCAGAAGTGGTGTATAAACTCTTAAATGTCAGGCAAGTGGAAAATGAAATAAGTTTAGATCAGTGGCACCTTTTTCTTTCTTTTTCTCTTTGCAATTACAGTGTGCCCGGCTCCATGTTAAACTTTGAGGATGCTAACAAGACAAGTCAAGAAGGTCTTATGTCTGCCTTCTTTGTTCCATCCCTTTATACTTGCCTATGTCAAGGTCCTCATCATCTCCTTTGGTTCTTTGCTGGGGTTTCCTGAACTGGGCTCTCTGTGTGTTACCCTCTCTGTGTGCCGCGTCACTCTCGACTTCGTGCCAGCGTGCTTAGAGAGTTATCTCTTCAAAAGCAAAGTTGATTATGATGCTTCCATAAAACTCTCTAGTTTGTCTACTGCCAACAAGACAAAAATCTAATGTTTTGACCTCAGTTTACATCCTGGTCCAGCCACATCTGTCACTGGTTCCATCTACCCCAGACCTGCCTCACTGAATTTCTCAATCTTCTCTGCTGTGACAGGAAAGAGACCAAGTCCCAACTCTGATTTCGCACATTTAAGTTCTCAGTCTGGAAAGCCTTCCTCATCCTTCAACTTTTTTATCCTTTCATACTCAGGCCTGACATCGACTCCTCCATGACTTGAAATCCCCAAGGAGAGTAAGCTCCTGTAATCTTGTCTGTTCCCACTGCACTTGGTTCTTTCTTTGAACGTGGTATGTTTTATACTGTGAGCTCTTGAAGTGCTAGGATCGCATTATTTATAAAGAGAAGAATGAGGCATTCCACCTAAGAACGTGTGACCATCAAAAAGATATGTTCACACCCTAATCCCTGAAACCTGTGAATGTGACCCTTTTTTGGAAAAAGAGTGTTTGCAATTTAATTGACTAATTCTGTTATGGTATTTATGGTAATTTGTTACAATAGCCAGAGGGAACTGATGTAGAAGAGTATGGTACAATGGCTGGCATGTAATCAAATACTAGTTGTCATCACCATCAGTACCATTATTATAATCTCTATTATTATTATCACCTATCATGGGACCTGGAAAGTGGTAAGTACTTAGAAAATAGTGGTTGAATAAAAATGCAGTCCTTGCCTCTGTGTTTTTAGTCTAGTGGCAGTGGTGGTGGTGGTTTGTGTTTAAAGGTGATATTGAAAGAGGCAGAATAGATCCCCTCCTAAAGACTTTGTTTGAATGTCTTTTTGTGTGTTTGTGTGAAGTGGGGTGGCATATTTTAAAATTGTTTTTTAGAAAAGTTTTTTTACATTTTAAATAAATTATTCTTTTAGAATAAGACTAAATGGAATTGTTGTTTTGGGGGGAAAAAAGCTGATGGGCAATTATAGCTCTACCAATTTTAAAAAATCTTAAGCTATTTCTTCTTTTCCCCTAATAGAATGTTATGAGCTAAGATTAATTTCATGTTCATTGGCCTTGAAGTACCATTTAGAGAGGTACCTTGGGGCAGTAAAGTAATTTTATTTCATTGTGCTGCAAGGTACTTGAAAACCTAAATGTACAAGTAATCATAAGTCCATACTGGATGGGTGATATGTATCTGTCTATAAATTTCAGTTTGCTACTGGAAGAATTATTACCAGTGTTTTAGAAATTGGTACAATTATAATAAAAGCTACTGCTAGCTGAGCTCTTACTCTGTACTTGGCACTGTTCCAGGCTTTTGACATGAATTAAGTCATTTTGCTCTCATGACCACCCTGCTGCCATGCCTATTCTCTTTACTCAAGAGGAAGCTGAGATACCTTGTGGTAAAACTTGCCCAAGGTCACAAAAGCTTGAGCGGCAGAAACTTGTAGTGGCTCATAACTGCTGTATGATTCTGACTGGGTTTATCTAGGGGAAGGATGTGAACCGTAGTAGTCCAGACTTTAGTATGAATCTACAGAGATTCTGGGGAGTGGAGCTGAGAATATGCATGTTTAATAAGTACCCAGGTGGTTCTGAGTGTGCTTTGGAGATATACTGAACTGGTTACTCTATAGCCCTCACAGTTCACTTCACATTAAGGCTTGTTGTTTGTGTGCTTAGGTAGGCTATTCTTTGCATGTATCTGTGTTCCAACGTGAGAGGCTACTGAATACATACATGCGTCTAAACTTATGTCTCAAGTGTCCTCGCTACTAACCCAATTTCTTTTGTAGAGAAAAGGCCAGAATTAGAGGGGCTCCTTTCTAAAAACCTTTTGTATGAGCTTCAGAAGCAGGTATGTTGAGCTGAGGAAATTAAGATGAATACAAGAAAAAGCATGACATAAAATGTCTACCTTAATGGTGTTTTATATGTCTGGTTTTTATTCAGAAGAAAAATTTTTCTTTGAGTTGGAGTCTCACTCTTTGTCACCCAGGCTGGAGTGCAGGGGCACGCTCATGGCCACTGCAGCTTCAACCTGCTGGGCTTAGGCGATCCTTCTGCCTCAGCCTTCCAAGTAGCTGGAACTACAGATGCACGCCACCACGCCCGGCTAGTTTTTGTGATTTATTGTAGGGAAGAGGTCTCACCAAGTTGCCAGGCTGGTCTTGAACCCCTGGGCTCAGGCAATCCTCTCACCTCAGCCTCCCAAAGTGCTGGAATTATAAGCTGAACCACTGTGCCCGGCTAGAAGAAACGTTTTTAAATTTTATTTTATTATAGGAATGTGAGGTACAAGTGAGGATTAATTACATCAGTAGGCCCCCATGCAGGTGGAGTTTGGGCTTCTACTTTGCACTAGAATAATAGTTCCATTACTTGGGGTGCTCTATTAGCTGTGGCTTAGGAGGGAGTCTTCTCTTTTAAGTTTAGTAAGAAAATTTTCACTCATTTGTACTAAGAACACTGATTATGTATGGTTTGGAATATGGGGAAAACCCTATGTTTTCAATTTTACAATTTCAATATTTTAATTGTTTATTGAACTGGCCAAAAAATTTTTCTCTTTTCTAGGGAGGTCACAAATCACATTGAGCCAAAACACATCCAGTGTTTTCTTCAGCTACAGGCAAAATGAACATTCCCATGCTGCTCCCACATCCTCACCAGCATTTCCTGAAAGGCCTTTTGAGAACACATTTACGATGTTACCACTTCGCCTGTCACTCAAGAGCTCATCCCCGATCGGGGACCCCTCGTGCTCAGCCATTTAATTCTCTTGGACTCCATTGTACCAGGTGGATGCTGCTGTCAAAAGGCTTAAAGAGAAAATTATGTGTACAAACAACCGCCAAGGGCCACACAGAAGGACTTTCTGATAAAGAACAAAGATTTGTGGATAAACTTTATGCTGGTTTAATCCAAGGGCAAAGGGCCTGCTTAGCAGAGGCCATAACTCTTGTAGAATCAACTCACAGCAGGAAGAAGGAACTCGCTCAGGTGCTTCTTCAGAAAGTGTTAGGCTACCACAGAGAACAAGAGCAATTAAATAAAGGAAAACCACTAGCATTTCGAGTAGGTCAGTCTTTTTCATTTGATTGTTCAGTACATATTTTTCTCAGTTCTCTGTATTCTTTTATTTTTATTTATTTATTTTTAATTTTTATTTTGGATTCGGGGGTACACATGCATATTTGTGACATGGACATATTGTATGGTATAGTGGTGGGGACTGGCTCTTAGGTGACCCATTTCCCAGATAGTGAACATTGTGCCCTGTAGGCAGTTTCTGAACCCAACCCCCTTCCCTTGTGATTCTGTTTTGTTTTGTTTTGTTTTGTTTTTTGAAGATGTGGGGTTCAACTCAGGGTTAAGTATATAAATGTTCATTATGCAGGTACCCTTGTTGATGAAGTGTGCCCTCCACTACCCCCAGCAGTTTCCCACTACTGCCATCTATATTCTTTAAAAATAAGTCTAAATAGTTTGCAATCTGATGAGACTTTTTTAAAAATGAATTTTAAATGTATTTCTTTGCAATAATATCTCGTTTTGTTGAAAATATTGCCATGACCATTTGAACCACGCCTCTGTATTTTAGGAAAATAATGTAAGATTTTTATTTTGACATGAATCTTGCTCTTGCTCCCAGAATAGAAGTTTGCATAGGAAGAACTATTAACCAGTTTATTCCTTTCTTTCAGTAGTCAAATAAATAGTCTAAAATAAATTCCATGTTTTATCTTGATCATATTTCAAAATTCTGTTTCTTTGTTTTATACAAGTTCTCATGTTTTTCAGATACTTTTTATTGAATTTCTGGGAGTGGTTCTAAACCAGCCATCACAATACCAAAATGTATTTTTAAAGAGCGATCATATTTATTTCCTATAGTATATTAGATGTTCATTTGATTTCTTGAACAATTTCTTCATTCTGTGATTGTTAATCAGCTTATTATGTTTTTGAAATTGTGCATTTTAAAACAATTTAGATGTATTTGGCCAGCAGGAGTTAAGCAAGACAGTTGGGTGGAATGAGAGTCCCCCATGAAGGTGTTCTAGTGGTTTGAACCAACTATTCTGCTAAAAACAATGGTAACTGAAGTGCAGAAATTTTGTGAGGCGTGAGTAAGTACATTTAAAAATGGACTGACATCACACTAGACTTTCGTATCACAGTTTATGTTCAATGCAGGGACCAAAACCTCCTAGTTTTTAGAGTAATAGGCATAAATGCTTTAAAGATAATTTCAAGACTAGGCACAGTGGCTCATGCCTGTAATCCCAGCACTTTTAGAGACTGAGGTGGGAGGATCACTTGAGCCCAGGAGTTTGAGACCAGCCTGGACAACATAGCAAGTCCCCATCTCTAAAAGTAAAATAAACTTTAAGTAAATAAATAAAGATGATTTCAAAATAGCCCACTAACCAATATTTGTACTGGTTCATATTTTTCAAACTGGGTATTCTTTCGTTCTCACTAAGAGACTGTAATTTTGAGAATGCTACATTGGATGTTGATAATCTTTATGTATTATAGACAGAGAAAATAGTAAACTTCCAAAGAGTGAAGTATCTATTACTAGGTTTTAGAGAATCTCTGAAGAGAAAATGTTCCAGAAATGTCTGTAAACTAGAAATTCACACATAACTTCGTAGTGCTAGTCTGGTTCTTGCATCTTGTTCGTATGAGGCCAGATAAAACTGTGTCTTTATTGCAGTTATTTTATCACCATCATAAATAAAAGCAACAAATGTTTATTCATTCCCTATAAAGATGTTTTAGACAGGAACCTTCCCTGAGAATTGTGGTAAGGAACCCAGCATACCATATACTATACATAGTTTTTAGTATGTATATAATTAAATGCCTGTTTTATATACTTCATTGAACATACATTTATATATATCTCTTACACCACGGTGTTCTAAACATATTGCAAATACTAACTCATCAAATTCTTAACCAACCTGAAGAGATAGGTATTGATACTTTATGTTATTTCTGAGGATCCTGAGGCACAAAAGAGGGTAAGTAATTTTCCCATGAACACACAGCTCGTGAGAGGCAGAGCTAGAATGAGAACCCACCGAGTGGCCCAGGGTTTGTATTCTCACCCACCATGCTCCACTCATTCTCCAAGTTGGGAGTTTTCCACCCACCTTAACATTTTTTTCAGAATTTGGTTTATACTCTTTGAGTTATGAATGAGATGAAGGAGAAAATGATCCTTTCTAAATAGAAAATTACTTTCTTAATCACTGGGACTTTCTAGAGTAATGAGTTGGTTTTCCAAAGGGAAGATAAAGTGTACAGAACTGGGACAGGTGGAATAATCACTGATCATGATGAAAGGTGGGCAGATGTAAAAACTGACATGTGAACAACACAGGCAATGAAGTCTGTCCAAAAAGATCTGTCTTCTAGTACAAAGACAACTGTGTTTTTGTAACTTTTAAAAGTGAATTTTGTGAGCATGTGGAACTCAGAATTGTTTCCTTCCTCTGTCCGCATTACTCAAGAATCAGATACAGAAATGGATTTTTATTTACTGCTTGAGGACATGTTAAAATATATTAATGATGGTTTTAATAAATTAGGAGAAATAGAAGGTTGTCTAATATTTTATTTAACAAAACCGATCATAGTTCTGATTTCATTTATTTCATTAAATTAGAAGATCTCTTTCTACCATAGGACTGTCTGGGCCCCCTGGTGCTGGAAAGTCAACATTTATAGAATATTTTGGAAAAATGCTTACTGAGAGGGGGCACAAATTGTCTGTGCTAGCTGTGGACCCTTCTTCTTGCACTAGTGGTGGTAAGTGTGGCTGATTCTTTTTAAATTGCGAGCTGTTCTCTGTTGCAACTCAGTGGGATTCTGCACGGCTAGGTGACCTCTAACTGCTACCTGAGCTTGGCCTCTTAGAAGGAAAAGCATTCTGCAGTGAGGTGGAGGCTGAAGGAACTAGTTTGGGAACATTGTACTCTGCAGAGGAAGTCAGCTTGTGGGTGATTCAGTGGGTCCTAAGAAAACTGGGATAGCAGATGCTGAAAGTTGAAGACAATCAAAAGCAAATTGCAGCCCTTTGACTTGCTCAAGCCTAGGGCCCTCCTCCTGTTTTTCCTGGCTGCATCAGTGGCTGTGCAGTTCAGAAAATGGATCCTTACTCATTTGTTATTTTCCTCATATTGTAACATCTCTTAAACTTTCGAAAAGAATCTTACTGCTGTTTCTAACTTGTCAAGTGTTTATATTATATCTTTAGTTAAACAGAAAGCTCTTAGAAGGACCATGTAATATACTGCTGTTACCCTATAGCAGATAGCAGAGTACATTGTACATTGCATCAAGCATTCAATTAATTTCTAATTTGAGGTTGTGCAGTCACTCGGAGTTTAACTTGCAGTTTATCAGAAATAAAATGAATATAAACTTAGTTCCCCAAAGGATCACTTAAAGAAAGCGTAGGCCGGGCACGGTGGCTCAAGCCTGTAATCCCAGCATTTTGGGAGGCTGAGGCAAGAGGCTTGCCTGAGTCCAGGGGTTCATTGGTGAGACCTAGTCTCTACAATAAATCAAGAAAAATTAGCCAGGTGTGGTGGCATACGCCTGTGGTTCCAGTGCTTGGAAGGCTGAGGTGGAAGGATCACCTAAGTTCAGCAGGTTGAGGCTGTGGTGACCGTGGGTGTGCCACTGCACTCCAGCCTGGGTGACAGAGTGAGACTCTGACTCAAAAAAAAGGAAATGTAAAACATACTACGTAAGTCCTCAGGAAAGGTTTTTCTTCCCTTCCCTTATCCCTCTTTATAATTGAAGTTTCTCACATTACAGTTATTTACTAACAGGTATTTGAGTGCCCACCACAAGTGAGGCCTTATGCATTGAAGGAACTGGATTGTATGATGGTGAATAAGACAGTCTTCTTGGCCTTATGTTTATACCTTTTATTTTTTTTTAAGTCAGAGTCTCACTCTGTCACCTAGGCTGGAGGGCAGTGGTGCAATCATGGCTCACTGCAGCCTCAATCTCCTGGGCTCAGGTGATTCTTCTACCTCAGCCTCCCAAGTAGCTGGGACAACAGGCCCACACCACCATGCCTGGCTAATTTTTTTAATTTTTTGTAGAGGCGAGGTCTCACTATGTTGCCCAGGCTGGTCTCCAACTCCTGGACTCAGGGAGTCCTCCCACCTCAGCCTATAATCCCATCCAGAGTGCTGAGATATAAAGCTTGGCTGGGCATGGTGGCTTACTTGTAAGATTATACAAGCTTTACATCCTATGAGGGAAACAGACAGTAAACACAAGCCATTGCAATATAATATGTGTTGTGAAAGGGCGAATACAGGGTACTTTGTGGAAGTATGTGGTTTACATGCTGTGGTGGACTGCGAGTTTAATGCTACAAGTAAAGAATAACAATGTAGTCATATTTCAGGGGTCTTAGAACCATAGATGAACAATTCTCGTTACCACTCATGGAGAAAGCAAACTCGGAAAATACCAAGTTTTTTGATTCACTACAAGAAAAAGGTTAACTATAAAATAAAATTTATATTCACAAGGTTCAAGGTTAAATCCATGTCAATGTATTGTGTAATTTATTTAGTCTTAGAACTTTTTAAAATGTAAGTATGCTAATGAAGGACTTTTTTGACAGCGGCCCTCATTTTTATTTAGGTGGGAAGGCCTTTTCCTCTCCATCCTCATAATATTCTAGAAGACTTTTAATGGAAAAAGAAAATAACAGCTTGAGATAATAATGATGTCATAAAATAGTCTATGATTAAAGTTGCATAGCTATGTGGTTCCTAACTTTTCTCAAACAAAAATAAGTGTACTTTTCTCAGGTAAAAAATATATAGACTTTGAAAAAAAAAATATATAAGGATAAACAGGACATTATAAACATAAATTTCTACCTTATTGCATCAGTACATTCATCTGAAAAAATAACATTACATTTAAGTTTGAGAATCATAAGTTTCTTGGTCTATAGTTGATCTATATTATGCTTTGGATTCACAGACTCCCTGTGACAGCTTTGAGACCTCCCTGAGAGACTGCAACTAACAGTTTTGGATTCACTGGCAAAGACAATTATATGGGAGAATAATTGCATGTTTAGTTCAGTGTGATAGGGTCTATAAGACTAATTTAAAGTATAGATATGTCAGATTGTTGACTGATACAGAGCTGATTACATGTAGAAAATACTTTCTAAAGAAGTTTTATGTGAAGTAAATAAGGTAGTTAAGGCATGGGGTAGGTGTGTGCTCTAGAATTAGAACCTGTGAAGACTGTAAACCAGAATCATAAGGGAAAAGAACATTTTTTTTTTGAGTTGGAGTCTGACTCTGTTGCCCAAGCTGGAGTGTAGTGGAACACTCATGGCCACTGCAGCCTTGACCTACTGGGCTCAGGTGATACTTCTGCCTCAGCCTCCCAAGAGGCTGGAACTACAGGCGTGTGCTATCATGCCCAGCCAATTTTTTTATTTATTGTAAAGATAAGGTCTCGCCAAGTTGCCCAGGCTGGTCTTGAACCCATGGGCTCAAGCAATCCTCTTACCTCAGCCTCCCAAAGTGCTGGACTTATAGGTGTGAACCACCGTGCCTGGCAAAAAGCATATCTTTAAGAAATTTCTCAGCTGGGCACTGTGACTCATGCCTATAATCCCAGCACTTTTGGAGGCAAAGGTATGAGGATTGCCTGAGCCCAGGGGTTCAAGACCATCCTGGACAACATGGTGAGACTCTGTCTCTACAATTATAATAATAAAAAAAATTAGCAGGCATGGTGACACACACCTGTAGTTCCAGCTACTTGGACAGCTGAGGTAGAAGGATCGCCTGAGCTCAACAGGCAAGGCTGCGGTGGCTGTGAGTGTGCCACTGCACTCCAGCCTGGGTGACAGAGTGAGACTACCCAACCAAAAAAAAAAAAAAAAGGAAACTTCTCAATCTTTAGAATCAGTTACATGTGGAAAAAATTAGCTCTTAGGCAGAGCTAAATAAATACTCATGTTAGAACAGCTCTACACCTACAAGTGTATTACATGACTAAAGCAAAGTAGTAAAAGGTAATAGTAGTTCCAGGGCTTTCAGTCCTCTAGAATGTGCAAGTACTGATGTTTGTCAAAATACTGCCATAAACACAAAAACAACCTGTTTCATTCTACGGGTATTGAATGCCTCCTGCAAACACCTTGTTAAGCATTAAATGAACAACATAAGTAAAACATGGTCCTACAGGCAAGGAAGTTACTTTTTTTTTTTTTGAGTTGGAGTCTCAGTCTGTCACCCAGGCTGGAGTACAGTGGCATGCTCACAGCCACCTTCCATCTCAGCCTTCCAAGTAGCTGGAACTACAGGCATGCACCACCACACCCAGCTACTTTTTGATTTATTGTAGAGATGACGTCTTGTCAAGTTGCCCGGGCTTGTCTCAAACCTATGGGCTCAGGCCATCCTCTCAGCTCGGTTTCCCAAAGTGCTAGAATTATAGGTGTGAGCTACCATGCCCAGTCTAAGGAAGTTACTTTAAAGCATGGTTTCTCAGCCTTGGCACAAGTACTTTAAAGTATGGTTTCTCAACCTTGGCACAAGTAACACTTTGTTGTGGGTGACTGTCCCGTGCGTTGAAGGATACTTACATAGCAGCATCCCTGACCTCTACCCAGTAAATGCTAGAAGCACCCTACTCCCTCAGTGGTGACAGGGAACTAGGTCTCTAGGCATTGCCAACTTTCTCCTGGGGGGGAAATAGCCTCCAGTTGAGAACTACTATGTGAAAGAGATAAGACATATAGATATGAAACCAAAAAAATGCTATAGGAACAATTTTCATCTGCTAACTCAGCTTACATTGCATTCAGAAACAGCTGCAGAATTTCTAAGCGGTACTGGATGCAAGGGACTGCTTGAAGATACATTTGTTAGCATTTATACAAGGTGGAGAAAATGTGATTTGTACAAATAAAAAGATGGAAGTCGAGGGTGCTCATGAAGATAACAGAAAGGGAGGGACATGGAAGTTCTCTTAGGCCCTCCAGGATGCTGGCATAGATTGCAGGGCAGTGGTACCATCGAAAATCACAGAGACGGGCATGGAATGAGAAAGTTCCAGACTATGAAGTTCCAGACTATGAAGGAGCTCTGAAAGGTGGATAAGTTCTGTGCTTTCTTATTAACAGTTTTGAAGCACATTCCTGTATATAATTACATCTGATTCTCCCAGTGGCTTATTACCTTGTCATGTAGCTGAGGAAAGAAGGGTTCCAGAAGGTAAAGGGCCCTTTCAAGATTGAGTGAGGAGACATAGCGGAACCCTGGGCTTGGCACGTTGGAAATGAGCAGTGGTGAGACGGGACCGAGGTGCCTGGCCTGAGCACACACAAAGGAGGCAAGGAAGCAAACACAGCAATGTGAAGACAGCAGTAAATCTCCACCCTGGCTGAAGCGGGGGTTGTTTGGGGACAAATGGAAGCTGAAATTGGACAGATGCAGTAGGGCTAAAGGATCTAGACTTGAACCTCTGGTCAGTGGGAAACCATCAATGATAGGTTTTGAGGGACTTGAAAGGTTAAAAAGATTAATCTGGCATCATTGCATACAGTGAGTTGGAGGAAAGGCCCAATGACATGAAACACAATTTGAGGTTCTGGGAGAAATGGCATAAAGCACGTCCCCCTGGGAGCTGACTGATTGATCAGTGGCCCTTACAGCTGTGCTATGATGATAAAATGTAAGTGTGTTTTAGGATCACTCTTAGGTGATAAAACCCGAATGACGGAGTTGTCAAGAGATATGAATGCATATATCAGGCCATCTCCTACCAGAGGGACGTTAGGAGGCGTGACGAGGACTACAAATGAAGCTATTCTGCTGTGTGAAGGAGCGGGATATGACATCATTCTTATTGAAACTGTAGGTGAGTGGTGTTCTATTTCATAAGAACGCTATACTGTTTTCATGAATGCTATATAAAGCAGAGTAACAACCAGTTTAATTTTGTTCGTTTAACAGATTTGCTAAAGGTGTTCGTTTAACAGATTTGCTAAAGGTGTAACGAAATACAAGATATTATCCCATACTCCGTGGAATATATGAGGGTATTAGCTATAATTCCTGCCCTCAAAGAGCTTACCATTTAAAGAATAAAAATAAGCCATGTGGGCAACCCTCTTGGGTCCCCTCCCATTGTGGGAGCTTTTTCTGCCCTTTCAATAAATCCTGCTTTCTAACAGAAATTAAAAATTCAATTAAAATAAGTCATGTACCCGGATAACCATTCTGCAGGTGATTTCTTTTTTTTTTTTTTGAGTTGGAATCTCACACCGTCGCCCAGACTGGAGTGCAGTGGCCACTCCCGGCTACCACAGCCTCAACCTGCTGGGCTCCAGCGATCTTTCTGCCTCAGCCTTCCAAGTAGCTGGAACTACAGGCGCGCGCTACCACACCCGGCTAATTTTTGATTTATTGTAGAGATGAGGTCTCGCCAAGTTGCCCAGGCGGGTCTCGAACCTGCGGGCTCAGGCAATCCACTCACCTCAGCCTCCCAAAGCGCGGGATTACAGGCTGAGCCACTGAGCCCGGTTTACAGGTGGTTTCTTATACGTGCCAGAGAGCTGTAAGTATTAGGATGGTCTAGGTAAATGATGTTTCAATACAATCCCTGTTTTGTTTAAGTATATTTTATATGTCTACTATATTCACTAAGAAAACTAATATAGTTTGGTGCCTTCTGAATATGTGGCTGTGTTTTATTTCATTTTAAAATCTTTAGTATATAGTTACATGCAATAATAATAATACTAAAATAAAAATCCCAAGAAATTCATATGGGAGAGACAATCTGCTATATTCATATTACTGTGCCATAAATATTTGTGACACAACCTAACTCAGATTTGTGGGATCCGTGGAGACTTCCTAGAGGAGGTGACAGCTGAACTCAGCTTTGGAGGAAGAACTGGAGTTAAGGTATGGGGAAAGGCAATTGCAAAGATACACAGGAGTGAAAAAACAGGACAGCCACACAAGTGCAGTTTGCTCAAGGCATTTAGAGCATTGAGTGTGTAGGCAGGGATGAAGAAAGACGGACTGGGACAGTAGACCAGGGCCTAGATTATCCAGAACCTTGCATGCCATGCCATGGAGTTTGGAATTTTCCCTGAAAGGAGCGGGAAGCCACTGCAGGATAAGCAGGAGAATGAGAAAGCCAGGTATACACTCTGGAAGCAGAAAGTAGAATGATTAAAAGCAGGGAGTCAGGTAGGAGACTACTTATTGTATTGATTCCAGAAAGAGCAGGGTCTGAACCACGCAGAGGAAGTAGGAATGAAGACAAGATGAATTTTGTTAAAAATTGAAGATAAACTGGCAGGACTTCTTCCATGATAAAAGGGAAAGAAGGAAGAGAAATTGAAGATAACAGGGAACACATTGGAAAAAATAGAATTTGGGAAAAGAACATAGTAAGTTCACTTCTAAATATATTGTAAAGTGCTTATTGGATATTCAAGTGACCAGGTGTCAAAAGAAAAAAAACTGAATGGGAAGTATATCTTTAACAGTTATTGGCATAATTTATAGTTCTATACTTCAAGTTATGAATTTGGTTCAGATCAACTGGGGAAAATTTGGAGTAAAAACAGAAGATAGTTGTGTGTATTTGCTAGGGCGGCCATAACAGCATACCATAGGCTAGGTGGCTCAAACAACAGAAATTTATGTTTTCACAGTTCTGGGAGCTGGAAGTTCAAGATGAAGGTGCCCCTAAGACTGGTTTCTCCTGAGACCTCTCTCCTTGTCTTATAGATGGCTGCCTTCTTGTCCTCATGTGGCCTTTTCTCGTACACATGCTCCCCTAGTCCCCATGTGTCAAAGACACCAGTCCTATTGGACAAGGGTTCTACCCTTATGATCTCATTTGACTTAATTTCTTCCTTAAAAATAAAGTTACATGGAGGGTTAGGACATTAACGTGAGAATTTTTTTTGGAGAAGAAGAACACAATTCAGGCTAATAGTAGCTAAGACTGGACTTTAGAAATGTCACCATTGACTGGGCTCGGTGGCTCAGCCTGTAATCCCGGCACTTTGGGAGGCTGAGGCGAGTGGATTGCCTGAGCATGCGGGTTTGAGACCAGCCCGGGCAACTTGGCGAGACTTGTCTCTACAATAAATCAAAAATTAACCAGGTGTGGTAGTGCACGTCTATAGTTCCAGCTACCTGGAAGGTTAAGGCAGAAAGATTGCCAGAGCACAGCCGGTTGGGGCTGGGGTGGCAGTGGGCATGCCACTGCACTCCAGCCTGGGTAACAGAGTGAGATTTCAACTCAAAAAAGAAATGAAACGCACCATTAATGACTGGATGGGGAAGAGTTGCCTGAGGCTAGCAGGAGAATGAAAGGAGAAGAGCCTCATTAAAGCCAAGTGCAAGTGTGTTACCTGGAAGGTGTATTTAGCTGCTTGTATCAGAGACTCAAAATGATGGAGACTCAAATAAGTAAGAGGTTATTTTCTTGTAAATAGAAGAGGTGTGAGGCAGGTGGTCCAGTGCATGTGCGGTGCCTGTGCAATACTCTCAGTGTGCAGGTTTCTTCTGTCTGTTTACCATTCTTAGCTCTTAGTTTCCATCCAGAAGTTTGCTCAAGGTTAAAAGATGGCAGACAAAACTCTAACTGACATTCCAAGTCCTGGGTAGAGGGAAGAAAGAAGGGTAAGGAAGCAGGATGGAGGGCAAAAGAGATAAACCTCCTAACTGGGTTAGCCTTTTTTCGAGAATTTTCCTGGAAAGCCCAACTAATGACTCTTGCTTTCACCCATTAATCATCTCTAGCTGAAAGGGGACCTCACGGGTGTGGTCTTTCACCTGGTACACTGATACTCCTAATAACAGGGTAAGAAAATAGGGAAGGAGGCCAAACTCGGTGGCTCAGCCTATTATCCCAGCACTTTGGGAGGCCGAGGTGAGTGGACTGCCTGAGCCCATGGGTTCGAGACCAGCCCAGGCAATTTGGCAAGACCTCATCTCTACAGTAAATTTTTAAAAAAATTAGCCCAGCCGGGCTTGGTGGCTCAGCCTGTAATCCCATGCCTTGGGAGGCTGAGGTGAGTGAATTGCCTGAGCCTGCAGATTCGAGACCCACCTGGGCAACTTGGCAAGAGCTCATCTCTACAATAAATCAAAACTTAGCCGGACGTGGTAGCATGCGCCTGTAGTTCCAGCTACTTGGAAGTCTGAGGTAGAAGGATCGCTGGAGCCCAGCAGGTTAAGGCTGCGGTGGCCAGGAGCAGCCACTCCACTCCAGTCTGGGCGACAGAGTGAGACTCCAACTCAAGAAAAAGAAAATAGGGAAAGATACATTTTGGAAAGGCAGCTAGAAGTCTCTGTCACACCAAAGAAGGAGAGAAAGTTTCCAAAAGATGTGGTGGCTCACACCTATAATCCCAGCGCTTGGGGAGGCCAAGGTGAGAGGATTGCCTGAGGCATGGGTTGGGGTTCGAGACCAGCCTGGACAACTTGGTGAGACCTCATCTCTACAATAAATCAAAAAAGTAGCCAGGCATGGTGGCGCATGCCTGTGTTCCAGCTACTTGGAAGTCTGAGGTAGAAAGATCACCTGAGTCCAGCAGGTTGATGCTGGTATGGCTGTGAGCATGCCACTGTACTCTAGCATGGGCGACAGAGTGATACTCTGACTCAAAAAAAGGAAAAAGTGAGAAATACGATGATGGAGGAGTTTGTGAGTTTTTGTCTTTTTGTTGTTACTGTTGGTTTGTTTGTTTTATATGGTTTTAAGATGAGAAAGGCATGAACATAATTTACATGGTATACTGAGGGACAAGAGCCTGTAGATAGAGGAGAGGTTAAAAATAAAGAAGAGCAAAGGCCCAGAGGAAGTGGAAGGAAGGAGCAAATCATTCTAAGTCAGTATTGCTGACACTACAGAGGAAGAAGTACTGCTGTGTTTTTATTTGGGTCTTTTTACCTGTGGAAAGGGTAAGGGAGAAACTGAGGAAGCTCTTGCCTTTGGTTCCTCCATGAAGTTGGTGCTGCAGTCACCACCAAGCAGGGAGATGATAGTAGAGTGAAGACTTGCAGTAGTTTCTGTGAGAAATGGAACGGAAACTGACTGAGGGCACTTGCGAGAATGGCTTTCACCAGGCAGTGAGGAAGATGTCTCAGAGGCTGGAGACCATGGCCCCAGAGTGGCAACTGTTCACATAGTTGAGTGATTTCTTTCATGTGTTCATAAAGGAGAGCGCACACATAGTTGAACTGAGCCATGATTCGGGGGTTTGCAGGTGGGTGTAAGGATGAGAAGGCAAAAAAGATTAAAGTGTTATCAGGCATTGGCCGAACACACCTAGTGGCTCACGCCTATACTCCCAACACTTTGGGAAGTGGAAGCAAGAAGACTGCCTGAACCCAGGGGTTGGAGACCAGCCTGGGCAACTTGGCGAGACCTCGTCTCTACAATAAATCAAAAAATGAACCAGGCGCGGTGGCACGCACCTGTAGTTACAGCTACTTGGAAGGCTGAGGTGGAAGGATTGCCTGGGTCCAGAGGTCAAGGTTGCAGTAGCTGTGAGCATGCCACTGCACTCTAGCCTAGGTGACAGAGTGAGACTTCGACTCGGAAAAAATAAGTAAATAACTAAAGGTATTGCCTGGCATGGTTTGAGATTAGATCATTGTGTTCAAGCTGCTCACCAGTGAAAGGGAAGCTAAGAAAGAGCTGCTAGAGTGAGGTGAGAAAGGAGGTTTCTAGGTTCCCTAATCCAGGAATAGGTTTTATGGGAATAAGGAAGAGAGAGAGCTAGGAAGGATAACCAGTTTGCTCAGAGGATAAGATAGTAGCCTTTAATACCTTCTTGAAAGGTAGGGGGGTGTGTAAAGTGACCAGATGGAGGGTGTGACCACGAGTTTGAATAAAAGAAGTGGGATAGAAATGGCAGTCGATGTAGTTGAGAGAGTATAATAATTTATACTAATAACTTATAGGATCTAAAGGATAATTTATAGAATTTCATAAGTAGACTAATGATTTATAGAATATTTAAAGATGTAATTTTGATTTTAAATTTCAGGTGTGGGTCAATCAGAGTTTGCTGTTGCTGACATGGTTGACATGTTTGTTTTACTACTACCACCAGCAGGAGGAGATGAATTGCAGGTAATTATCTTGATTTTTTCCCCCAAAATACGACGTCTTTATCTCTGAAAGTACAAACGCCTGGTGTGTTTTTGTAAATAAAGTTGACAGTAGTATAGAAAAAGAAACATCATTTATATTAGCTAAAATCCCTGGGTCAAAGGCAAATTTTTGATGTATTTTTCCAGTTTATCGGAGTATAATGTATGACCTTGAGCTAATCATACAACTTAAGTATTTCCGTGTGACATGGAGTGTCTGGAGTACATGGATAGCTTGGGCTGGAAGACACCACTGTTGCAGGAGTGTTTTGAGTTCAGCTGGTACAAAAGTTCTTCATAAGATACCACTCTGCTTTTAACTGGGATCCCACAATCATAGTTTATATATTGTACAGAGGTATATCTCCTTCTGCAATGCAGGAATGGCACTAATTCCTTGGAGTGGTGCAGACTTCACAGGCATAACCCTCCACCCACTCCCCTCATTTTAGACACCAACTGCAAGCTCCAGGGTTCCCACCTGCACCACTGAACAACTGGCTACAAATCTGGTTGAGTCATTCACCAGAATGACTCACAGAACTCAGGAAAGTACTAAATTACAATTACAGTTTTCTTATAAAAGGTACAAATCAGCACAGGCCAAATGAGGAGACACATAAGGGGAAGTCTGGAAGGATCCCAAGCAGGAAGCTTCTGTGTCCTCAGGACACATTTCTCTCCTGGAAGCTTGGTGTGTATCATCAATGAGGAAGCTCCTCTGAGCTTTGGCGTGCCAAGTTTTTATTGGGGATTCATTATGTAGGCATGGTTGATTGAATTCTAGCCCTAGCTCCTGCCCCCACAAGTTGGACTAATATCACATAGCACAAAGACTCAACTCTCTAATCACATGGTAAATCTTTTTGACTGGTGAATGCCCCATACTGAATGATCTCATTGCATAACCTCAGGTGGCTCCAGGCACCCACTATGTATAACAAAGACACTCTAGTCACTCAGGAAATTCCAGAAAGTTACAGGTTACTCCCCAGGAACCTGGACAAAGACCAGACAAATTCTTTATTATACAATACTTCCCTTTCAATTTTATAATTCTAAAAAATAGTAATAGCAGACTATGGCTGCTGTGACTTCACAACAGTAACAATTAGAGTCTAATGGTTAAAAGTTATATTTAAAAATATTTGAAAAGAAATGTTAATCTTAGGTGGAGAAAACTTTATTTAGCAAATAAGGTTTGGCTTTTGGATTTCATTATTTATTTCTAGTATTTTTATGCAATATAATTTAAATCAAGAGGTTGAGGCATTTTTCACCACCAGGTTATGTTTCCTCAAGTGCAAATTGGAAATAAAATGGTATATACAGTTAAGGAAAACTTCAAAGACTTTGTCTCTGGAAATTCAGATGTTAATGATATGTGTGTTTTCTTTTTAAGCACCTTAGTGATGGATGGTTTTGCATCCTGCAGTGTTAGCTCATGAGATGCAGAATCCATCAGGAAACTGTGTGAACCATGGCCTGACACTCCATCATGTCGGCATGATGATGATGTATTTACTCTAATTCTAAATGTGTTTCAACATTTATTCTCTAAATTTGGAAGACACATTACAGATGACTTCTATAATCCCAAGACCCAGTGCTTTTGAGTCAACTAATTATGATTCCTGGCATCTGGGCTTAGAAAGAATCTTACCATTGACTGGTTGCCCCATTTTTATGCTGATTGTTATTAAATTAAATATTTCTGATAAATCCGTTTCTTTCCTTCTTTTCTTTAGGGTATCAAAAGGGGCATAATTGAGATGGCAGATCTGGTAGCTGTGACTAAATCTGATGGAGACTTGATTGTGCCAGCTCGAAGGATACAAGCAGAGTATGTGAGTGCGCTGAAATTACTCCGCAAGCGTTCAGACATCTGGAAACCAAAGGTTAGCTTGCATTCCATTCTATAGTTTTCACCCTGAGTGGACTGTGTACATTAGAAGAGAGAATATAAGTCCCAAACTTGACATATAATCAATCTTCCCTTATACATGAAGTTTACAGTTTTAAAAATTATGAGAAAGTCAGAATGTGTAGTCGTGATTTTAAATATAATCCTTTAACCGCTAGATGTCAAAAACTAGATATGAGGTAATAGATTAGATTGTTTAATGCTTGATTTGAGCCCTTTGGAAGTGATAGCAAATCCATTCTGCGAGGAGCCATCCTTAGGATTATGGGGCAGTTAATGATTTGATTGTCTATGTTGGATTTTGAGTAAGTTTGAAAAGGCTTGTGGTGATGACTACTTCCATTCCTGTTATGTTTGTTAAGTGTTGTTTTCAGTAAAGGAAAAAGTATTTTTAAAAAGCATCCTGTGGTAAGTGATGCAGTAATTTTGAGAGGGCAACTTCATCTGTGGGAGGATACCATGTTACTATTATTATTATTATTATTTTTTGAGTTGGAGTCTCACTCCGTCTTCCAGGCTGGAGTGCAGTGGCAGCTCACAGCCACCCCAGCATCGACCTGCTGGGCTCCGGCGATCCTTCAGCTGCAGCCTTCCAAATAGCTGGAACTACAAGCACGTGCTACCACAGCCAGCTAATTTTTTTAAAATTTATTATAGAGACAAGGTCTCACCAAGTTGCCTAGGCTAGTCTCAAACCTACAGGCTCAGGCAATCCACTCGCCTCGGCCTCCCAAAGTGCTGGGATTACAGGCTGAGCCACTGAGCTTGACCGGACACTGTGTTATTAAAGGATAATCTGTGGTCATCATAATGAGAACAGTGATGCCTTCTCTTACTGTTGGCACCCAGTTTTCTTTTCCACACTGTCTGTGTTGAATCTGGGGCCACCTTGACACATGTGTAGGTGCCAGGTGCCCAGCGAGTCAAGTGAATCTAACACAGGGAATTGGCGTATTTTCTCAACTTTGCTTCATTTTCTGACTCTCAGGCCTCAGGGCAGCATACCTGGCACTGCCCTTGTCATCCTGTGACTCTCTCCCAAATTCTCCCGATATCCCTGACCAACTGAGCTATCTTAAGTTAAGATAAATCTCTATGCTGAAAAATCTGACTTTGACACAATGTCTTATTTCTGTCATACACTTACTAATCCTAGGTACAGTACAGTACCCCAGAGATATGCCAGTGTATTTACTTTGACACAGCAATAAAATCTCATTTTTGTCACTTGCCTGCTTCCGTAGACTGTAAGAATTAATTGGCAAATGCCAGAATCCCCCTGAAAATGTTTTCTTTCATTTTAAGTTAACAATCTGGTTCTTCCCTTTTCAATAGGTCATTCGCATTTCTGCCAGAAGTGGAGAGGGGGTCTCTGAAATGTGGGATCACATGAAAGAGTTCCAAGGCCTCATGCTGGCAAGCGGGGAGCTCACCGCCAAACGACGGAAGCAGCAGAAAGTTTGGATGTGGAATCTCATTCAGGAAAGTGTGTTAGAACATTTCAGGACCCATCCCACAGTCCGGGAACAGATTCCACTTCTGGAACAAAAGGTTCTCACTGGGTCCCTGTCCCCAGGACTAGCAGCAGACTTCTTGTTGAAAACTTTTAAAAGCATAGGCTGATAAAATTTACCCTGGCCTGGGTGACATAGCAAGATCCTGTCTCTTCAAAAATAAAATGAAATAAACTTCACCAGGTGTAGTGTGCATGCCTGTAGTCTCAGCTACTTGGGAGTCTGAGATGGGAGAATCACCTGAGCCCAAGAGGTTGAGGCTGTGGTGAGCTATGATTTACTGTACTCCAGCTTGGGTAATTAGGCAAGATCTTGTCTCAAAAAAGAAAGAAAGAGAGAGAAAGAAAGAAAATTCATCTTATATAATTTATATATTGTTATATAAAGTATTTTAATACTAAAAAAAAGTCACTTGGTGCTTTTATTTTAGTAATTCTTTTATGGTGCCCTTGGCTTCCTTGTTTGTACATCATGTTTGAAAGCTCGAAGGAAGTTAGATACAGATGGTGAAGGTTAGGCAGACAGGCAGTATTCATAAGGCAGCTGCTGTGTGTTGCCGATTTCCATTTCTTTCTGTTCTTATACCCTGGCATGGTAGCCTGTAGCATAGTTTCTTATTATCAGGCAGAAGCAGAGAAAGCTGGTAGAGTGACCACATTTTTTAAGTCTGTCTTGAGCCCAGAACAATACCAGAACAGTGGTGGGTTTTTAAGAACTGAAAATCATGATTGACATTTAGTGTCCCAGACTATTCTAGGAATTTCATGACCATGTACATGAGTAATGAAACAGCTGGAATAATGTAATAATGTGGACACAGTTTTAAAGTCTGCTTGTCTGGGTTTGCAGACCCCTGCCTCCTCTCATGATAGGTTAGAGAGCCAGAAGGGAACTGGGAAAACCAACTACAGGTAATGACTCCCCAGGAGTTGGAGTAAACCCTAAAAGACTCAAGTGAGATCAAAATGACTCAAGGGTTATTCCATGGGAAGATTATCAAAGACTTTTGCCTCTCTTTTTCCTAAGCATTTCACTTCATCCTAGTATTTAAAAAATCTACTTTTTCTTGGTGGTGAAGATCTAGTTTTGTGGAGGAAGCCTGGCACAGTGATTCAGAACCTAGGTTCTCTAGTCAGACTGTGTGTGTTTAAACTTTAACCCCAAATCAATCACTTATTGGTTTTTACCTTGGATAAGTAACTTCATTCTCTAAGCTTCAGTTTCTTCCCTGGTATAATAGACTTGGCATATAGCCTTCTATGGCTGGTGAGGATTGAATGAGATAACTTACGAGAATCATTTAGCCGTCATGATGGTTTACAGGAAATAACGAAAAACTGCTTATTATCGTCATTACATTAAAGTTACTTGATGCTGTACAAGCCTTATGTATAATTTCAGTTTTCTCCCATGGTCTTACAACTATCATCGTGCTCTTGTGATATTTTACAGTTGTCTTTAAAGCACTGTCTCTTGTTAATTATTTGACTATATCTTATGCTATTTGATGGTAGTTATAACTGTATATATGTTTGGGTAAAATTATTTCTAACCATAAAATTTTGCCATTGCACAAAAGGTCTTCACAGAAGTTTCAAACATATTTTGGACCCTTTAGAATATTTTATACAGTATGCCAGCTAGTATTGTTACTTACCCTACTGGTTCCTAGCTGGAATCAAATTTTTTTCTTTTTCTTTTTTTTTTTTTGAATAGGAGTCTCACTCTGTTGCCCAGGTGGGAGTGCAGAGGCATGCTGCTCACTGTCACTGCACCCTCCACCTGCTGGGCTCAGGCGATCCTTCTGCCTTCCAAGTAGTTGGAACTACAGACATGTGCCACCACGCCCAGCTAATTTTTTGATTTATTGTAGAGACGAGATCTCACCATGTTGCTCAGGCTGGTCTTGAACCCGTGAGTTCAGGCAATCCTCTCACCTCCACCTCCCAAAGTGCTGGGATTATAGGTATGAGCCAGCGCACCAGGCCTGGAATCAAATTTCTTGAGTATCATTTTAACAAGCATTCCTTTACATCTTTTGGAAAGACTTTTAGTATTGCACTGGCATACCTGTATGCTAGATAAGGATTAGGAGAAACATTGAAAGGCTATCCAGTCGATTTTCATGATTTCAGAAAGACCCACCATTAAACCACCCTAGCAGGTGAAAAACTGGTTTTTAGAAACTTCGGAGAAGGAATTTTATAATTTCCCTTAGTAAGGGATGACAGAGAATAATAAACTTCCTGTCACATGTAGTCCAATGTAAGTAATGGTGCAGCACACACTCTGTATCACAAAGGAGGCAGAAAAGGGACTTTTGCTAACCCTGAGTTAGTGCTGCAATTCTTTTCTATTGGAACTGCTTTTAAAGTTATAAGTGAAGTCATACAAATCACTAGAAGCCCCCTTCTCATGTTGTCCTTGTACCATTGGCTACTATATAGAGACCAATTTCTAAAATATCTTTCACCTCTGTTTCTGTTCTTTGCTATACTAGAGGCAATATAATATGGTGAAATGTTCATAGCCTTTTTTTTTTTTTCCAACTCGAAAATCTCATTCCTTCTCCCCTAACTTGTGATTCTACTGTGCAGGACTCCTGACCTAGTCAAAAGCACAAGCTTGTTTGTTTGTTTGATTTTTGTAGAGATGAAATCTCACTGTGTTGCCTCTGCTGGTCTCGAACTCCTGGGCTCAAGCAATCCTCTCATCTCAGCCTCCCAAAGCACTTGGGTTACAGGCATGAGCCACCACACATGGCCTTAAAAGCACAAGTTTTGACTTAGATAGTTGTGGGATCAAATCTCAGCTCTGTCACTAACTATCCATATATGATTTTTGGCAAGTTATTTCTCTATATGCATCAGTTTCTTTATCTATAAATGTAAGGTAATAGTTGCTTTACAGGGTTGCTGAAATATTTAAGAGAATTGGTAGGTGTTGTTGCAAACATTACACATAGACATTTATGATAATTTTTTTGGTCTGCAAAATAGACTAGTATTTAATTTCAAATGGACCAAACTACTTAATCTCTCTGTACTACAGTTTCCTCACTATCAAATGGGGATGATAATAGTCACCCTCAGAGCTGTTGGAAGGACTATTTTAGTTAATAAATGCTAAGTAAAAAAAATTTTTTTTGAGTCATAGTATTACTTTGTCACCCAGGCTGGAGTGCAGCGTCATGCTTACAGCCATAGCAGCGTCAAACTGCTGGACTCAGGTGATCCTTCCACCTCAGCCTTCCAAGTAGCTGGGACTACAGGCGCATGCCACTATGCCCAGCTTATTTTTTGCTTTATTGTAGAGATGAGATCTCACCAAGTTGTCCAGGCTGGTCTTGAATCCCTGAACTCAGGCAATCCTCTCACCTCAGCTTCCCAAAGTGCTGGGATTACAGGCTTGAGCAACCACGCCCGGCCTCTCAGTAAATATTTAACAATAAATGGTAGTTACCTCTTAGAGTTGTTGTGAGGATTAGATGAGTTACAGTCTCCCTTTTTTTGAGTTGGAGTCTCACTCTTGTCACCCCAGGCTAGAGTGCAGTAGAACACTCATGGCCACCGCATCCTCGACCTGCTGGGCTTAGGCGATCCTTCTGCCTTCCAATTGGCTGGAACTGCAGATGCACACCACCATGCCCAGCTAGTTTTTGTGATTTATTGTAGAGATGAGGTCTCACAAGTTTCCCAGCCTGGTCTCAAAACCCCAGGCTCAGGCAATGCTCTCGCCTAGGCCTCCCAAAGTTCTGAGATTACAGGCTGAGCCAGCACACCTGACCTCCCTTCATTTTAAAAAGATAATTCTTTTTGCAAAAAAACAAAAAACAAAAAACAAAACTCATAGGTTGACTTTGCCTTGTCAAGAACATAATTATCATTAACTTCTGTAAATAGGAAAAAAGGCTGCTGTGTTCCAAACTGAGCTCCCCAAATGACAGATATTTTGTTAAAACAATAACACATCTCATTAAAATGACCATAGCTAACTTCAGTCATTAACATTTCCCAACACAACTTAAGAAAGCTTTTCCTTTTCATAATCACTCCAGAATATGGCTATTTACCTGTTTTCCCTGAGTTTGTTTTGTTTTGTTTTGAATTGGAGTTCTCACCCTGTCACCCAGGCTGGAGTGCAGTGGCATGCTCATGGCCACCACAGCGTCGACCTACTGGGCTCAGGTGATCCTTCAACCTCAGTCTTCCAAGTAGCCGGAACTACAGGCACGCGCCATCACACCCAGCTAATTTTTTTTTTTACTGTAGAGATGAGGTCTCACCAAGTTGCCCGAGCTGGTCTCAAACCCGTGGGCTCAGGCAATCCTCTCACCTCAGCCTCCCAAAGTGCTGGGATTATAGACATGAGCCACCACGCCCGGCCATCCCTGAGTTTTTATAGCTATTACTCAGTGTACACTGAAGACAATGGCTAATGAACATGTGTAAGACACTCAGTGCTTCTTTAATTCAACCTTTAATGAAGAAGAAAACAGAAACAATCAAAGAAAATCATCCAGACATTGCACTCACCTGTAGATGGTCATCATAGAAGTCATGGTGCTACCGCCAAAAAGTAGTAGACCACAGAACTCCATGGGGAGGTACAACTCCTGTTACCTACACGTTTGTGCAGGTGGGGGAGCTTTGATGCTTCTGAAGTCCAAGAAATCTTTGTGGGGCTTCACAAATGCGAATGCTCCCTAAGATACACTCTATGAAATGCCTCATAAAGATGAATTCTTATAGCCCAAGTGGGCGTGTCTCAGGGTGCCTTGTAATTCAGGTGGGGTGTCACCAAATGTTAGTGTTGCTATTCAGAAAAGACAAAGAAAATGAACCCCCAAATCAACATTTTCCTTGAAAAAGAACAATCAGAAAGATTCTTCAACCTATTTGTTTTTCTTTCTACTATAGTATTTTGGTGAGTTGGTTACTGAATTTATGAACTTTTTTTTTGAGTCGAAGTCTCACTCTGTCAGCCAGACTGGAGTGCAGTGGCATGCTCATGTCCACTGCAGCCTTGTCCTGCCGGGCTCAGGCAATCCTTCCATCTCAGCCTTTCAAGTAACTGGAACTACAGGCGCATGCCACCACTTCCAGTTAATTTTTTGATTTATTGTAGAGACGAGTTATCGCCACATTGCCCAGGCTGATCTAGAACCCCGGGGCTCAGG